GCATGGAGCACTGGGTGTTATGCACAAACAATGAATCATGGAACACTACATCTAAAACTAATGATGTAATGTATGGGGATTAACATAACAATAAAAAATAAAAAAATAAAAAGGCAAAAGTACTCTATGTTGCTAGATATCAGGATGGGGTTAACCTTGGGGAGTGTGGGCCCTCAAACACTTCTGAGTGCTAGGAAGGTTCTGTTTCCTGGTTTGGATGCTGATTTTACAGGTATTTTCAGCTTGTGAAATTTCAGTGAGCTGCATACTTATATAAACTTTCCTGTATGTATATTAAACTTTAGTAAAAACATTTTTAACTTTTACTTCCTTGCCATTTGAATTTTCTAAAAACACAACAGCTGCCACTTACTGAGTGCTTACTACATACAAGGTATTGTGCTATTATTTTATGAGATTATCTCATGTAATCATCCTAACAACTCAGTAAAGCAGGTACTTTTCACATGTAACAAATAAGGAAACCGAGGCTGGAGAGGTTAAATAAGTTCCCCAAGTCACATAGGAAATTGCAGAGCCAGGACTTGAGGCAACTGTTAACTCCAAAGCCATGTTCTTCAGTACCACACTAGATGACCTCCAGGAGTCCAGTGTATTTCAGGTCTTGAGCAAAGAAGCTTGGCCCCAGTAATCAGCAGAAGAGTACTCCCTGGGTAGTTACTGAAGACATTCTAGAAGGAGGGATCTTACTGAAGAGAGCAGGGTGACTTAGAAAATGCAACTGGCCTGAAAGTAAAAGGACTTGGGTCCTAGTCCTTAGGGTCATCATTAAGGACTGGACCATGTGCAAGTCACTTTTTTTTTTTTTTAAGATTTTACTTATTCATTTGAGACACAGACATACAGAGAGAGAGAGAGAGAGAGCGCGCATGAGCTGGGGGAAAGGCAGAGGGAGAGGGAGAAGCAGGTCCCCGTTGAGCCAGGAGCCCGATGTGGGGCTCGATCCCAGGAAGCTGGGATCATGACCTGAGCCGAAGGCAGACGCTTAACCATCTGAGCCACCGAGGCACCCCATGGGCAAGTCACTTAACCTCTCCAAATCTCAGCATTTCACCTGGAGACAGACTAAATGATTCTAAAGTATGCTTCAGTTATAATTCTAAGATACTCATTCTTGTTTTATGTTAAGATTCCTGCCCCAATTGCGTTGAAAATAAGAACTGGGTCTCATTTATATCTGTAATCTCCACAGTGCTTAACAATTCTTTGGATACAGTGGCTCTCAATTAAAATTTGATGGCAGCGGCAGGTATTCTTTGATAGAATGGGAATTCAGACATCAAGTAACCAACATTAATCATCTTCTGTTTCATTAAGAGACCCTCACATTGTCCTCAGTTCAGATCAATCTGAACACTATAAAGCCATTTCCAATGCCATTCTTCTCCCAACCCAAAGTAAAATATTTGCAAATATTTCATGGTAACATTATAGAGTAAGTATTCTCCCATATTACTTTAAGTAAATTATAAAGTTATATATAACTTTGCTAAAAGATCTATGTAGATTAATGACTTTTTTCAATCCTTCCATAATTTGCCAAATTTTATAGAGTATTTATTCTTTTTTAAAAAAATAAAAATTGAAGACTTTCATATTAAACTCTGGTTAACAATCAATCTTTCCTTTAGATTAATCCTTACTTTTCATCTGATTTACTTCAGAAGACTTCAGGTATCACTCAATTATTTGCATTAAAACAGACATCTTTGATTCCAACCCCCAAGCCCAATTAATTAATTCCCCTCACCTTGGTGGGATAGACAGAGCTGGAAGGAAAAGCCACCAGGGTGGTGAGATCAGAATAACGTCGCTCTATAGTCTTCTTGGTAGCAGGGCAGTAGTGGACACTGCGGACGACTTTGGGACGAACTAGAGAGCCTAGCAATGGAAAACATGCATATAAAGTCATGCAACTAGACAGTGACAGAGGTGGAATCTGACCCAGGCAAGTCTATCATGACTCTAAATACTGTGTTCTTCTGACTAGTTTAAGCTGCTTCAATAATACTTGTCATTTATTCATTTTTATATTTATATTTAGAACATCAACATGTCTATATAAAACTTCAAGTACAACCGATCCTGACCAAGAAATGATAGGAGTTCAGAGTTAGAATGAGGAGACTGCCAAAAGCAAGACTCTCCTACGCTCAGCGGAATTCAGCATTCTGGACCCCCTAATCTTTGTGCACACTACAGCTCCTTCCAGCTTCACCCTGTTAAGTTCAATGCTATATGCTACCCAACTCTACTCGGCCTCTCCTGCTTCCCCAGCCCCTCTTAACGGGTATCCCACCTCCATTCCCTTAGCCCCGACTTGAAGCCACTCACACTTAGTGACAATGCCCTCCACGCAGACCACACAGCTGAGGAAGCAGGAGGTAAGAGTCCGGGGAGAGACATGCTTGGAGCCAAAGCTGCCCTCCAATCCTATGTAGAACTCCTCGTACTGCTTGGCATAGGTAGCATCAATGGAGGCCACAAAATCCTTTAAAGCCCGCTGGAAGGCAACCAGCTCCTCAAAGGCATTGCTCAGGAGGCTGGACATGGACAACAGAGAGAATAATTAGGCAGAGAGAGAAAAACTCGAAGAAATCGACCCTTAAAAATAAAAGTAGTGTGAAAATCTAGTGCCCTTCTCCTGCTGTCCTAGAAGACTCAGTAAAATACCTCATAACTGACAGCTAACTTGAATTCAACTTCTCAAAGATGCAGAAATGGTAACTCAGTTAAAACATGGAAGGAGAAGCTCTTAAGAGGAAAACGCCCAGGATGTCTGGGTGGCTCAGTCGATTAAGCAGCTGCCTTCAGCCTGGGTCATGATCCCAGGGTCCTGGGATCCAGTCCTATATCGGGCTCCTTGCCCAGCGGGAAGCCTGCTTCTCCTTCTCCCTCTGTCTGCCGCTCCCCTGCTTGTGCGCTCTCTTTCTCTCTGAGAAATAAATAAAATCGTAAAAAAAAAAAGGCGGGGGGAACACCCACCACCTACTTTGGGAAGAAGAGAAAAACAGAAGCGGGTGAGGCAATGAGGGTCAAAAACATTTCATCCAGGTCCTCTCTTGGGAAGCCTGTCCAATCCGGGGAAGAGAAAGGGAAGCCATTGTCACCCAGAGCCAGGATATCCTCTTGGGAACCCTTACCACTTACCGGTTAGCCCTCTTCTCGTTTTTCCTGCGCAAGTCATTCACATTGACAATCAACCGGTATTGGTTGTCACTGATCAGCTCCCGAACTTTGCTCTGATAAATTCCCTGGTCTTCCTGCAAAATAACCACCACATATCAGAACAGCCACAAATTCAAAAATAGGACTGTATTTAAACAGAGGCAGTTCTCACAGCAAGATAAATCAATCTCTGCAGCAGAACTGACCTCAAATTTCTCCACATTTTCACTCACTAGCATGAGATTCCAAATACACCCTAAGAGGCTGTTGCAGGAGTTATAATGATCTCCTCAACGTCCATGCTATTATTTCTATTACTATCTGCAGCTTTTCTGTATGCAGTCATTTCTCAACTTCTAACGGGGAATTAAAACAAGCTCATAATAAGTCTAAAAGGACAAGTAAAAATCTTGTCAAAATGTAAATTAGCATATTAAAATGACTTTTCATTTAAGAATTACGTAGGGAATTAAAACACTGTATTTCCCGATCTGCTGTATAATAGGGAAAGAGTTCTCTCATATCCGACCTAAAGGAATAGGGAGCCTTACTATTTGTTTACAGACCCAGCATTATCAACCCTTTCAAGATGCTTTACCAATATTCTATGGCTTCCAGTCCTGGGTGGCATACAAAACCCCCTTTGCCAGCATAGTAAACACTTCTCTTCTGCATCTCCTTTGGCATTGAAAAAGAATGCGGCCAAGTTAGGAAGTCTTTCCCGCCCGGTTGGAAAGTCAGTCCTTAAAATCTGCAGGTCTATAAGGTAGCGGGTCACTACGTTCTACAGCATTCTCCCCGCCCCCCCCTTCCCGACTCCTGCCAAATTCAGAGAGCGGGGAGTGATTTCCGAAAGGCCACAGGGAGCTTTGCCATTTCGTGTGCACTTGAAAGAAACCCGTCGCCTTTCGCGAGACCCCGCCACCATTTGCACTTAGGAGAGTTACAGGATCGCTCTCTCAAGGCTGCACGTACAGGAGACCAAACCAACTACGGAATCCACCGCGAGAAACGTTACGAGATCCGGGATGGAAGACTTCTGAGGGCGCCGGCCCGGCCGCAACAGTCCGGAAGCTCGGCGGACCTCCCGCGAGCTCCGGGCCCTGCCCCGGCTCTGCGTGGAGCAGCATCTGCCGCGGCCTCGCTTGGCCCGTCAGCGTCCCCAGGGGCTCCAAGCGCCAGAGTTTCGCGCCCCCGCTCCTCCCTCACCTCGTCATCCAAGAAATCCAGGTAATCTCTCTGCGCCTCTCGCAGCTCTATGTCGTCCAGTACCACTGTCCCCGCCATGCTCGCCGCCAGAGAACCGCTTCCTCCAGACCCGCGCGGAGAGTCCTCAGATGACCCCGCCCCGGCGCGAAAACTTCCGAACTTTTCCCGCCACCAAAGGCTACGTCGAGAAGGGGCAGGGGTTTCCGGGAGGATATACACATTCTGATTGGCTGATTCCTCTTACGCGAGAATAGCGAGTATCCAATCGAGAACTTCTTCCACTTCGGCTTTCCTGAACGGCGCCTCGCACTGGCGGGAAATATGACATCCTGAGCCCTCTGTTTCTCCCCTCACTGACAGGCAAGCTGACCAACGGGGCCGAGAGGAGGCTCGCGGAGTCTGATCATTGGACAGCCGGGCAAGACGACGACGCGCTGCATTCTGGGAGTCGTAGTCTTCCCCCTTTTACCGGATGTTTTGTAGGGTTTTGTTTTGTTTTGTTTTGTTTTCAAACTGCGGTGCCCTGACTTGTCGCAGAGTGAGAGGTTGTACTAAAAGTAGCCTAACTGTCAGAGACTGGGAGTTTATACGCAGGGAGACATAAAAACATAAAAGCAAATCGTTTCTTAAATGTATACAAATCAGGTGTGCTGAGTATGTTTCTCAAGCAACTGCCCTCAGGTGGCATTCCGAGAAAAAAAAAAGTGGATTTTGACAATCTGTGGGACGGAAATAGAATAATAGCATCTTTGGGAAAGGTTCTTTAGTTCAGCGACCCATTTGTTCTCTCAATACCATTGCCTGAAGTACCCCGTAAAAATAGGCGGCGGAAGAGGGCGAAATGAAAGAAACATTTTCAGTATTGTATCCCGCCCCATAGAGATGGCCTCATGTGTTATTCTACAAAATTCTGCACATAATTACTACACCATCTTACTTGCAAATGGGTAAGTTAAAGCCTTTTTCGCCTTATAAGGAGATCACAAGATCTTTTAAAATAACTTAGTTTACTGAAAGATAAACAGAAGAAACAAAAAAGTGTTTCAAGCCACTCAAGTATCGTAATTAAGATATAGCAAATCTGAAGTTACAAACAGCTAAAAGACCAATTGCATGTTTGCAACCTTTGCAAAAAGGTGGGGTTTTTTGCTTGTCTCTAGTCTTTTGTGGTTTATATTTTTTAGTTTTATTCTTGAGGTATAACATATACAATAAAATGCGCAAATCTTAAGTGTACAGCTCAATGAATTTTTATTATTTGTATACCCATGTAACCACCCAGTGCAGTCAAGAACAGTCCCATTGCCCCAGCATGTGTTTTTTGTTTTACTGAACAGGACTAGACACCTGTTAATTCTGTATCTGAAAGTTCAGCCAATTAACATTAGCTTATGTTCAAAGGTCTCCAGGACTCACTGTGCCCTAATAAGTATTCTAAGTATAACCTGCCTAAACAAAATATATATGCCGTCTATTTGTGTGTGAATATGTATTTTTAGTTATTATACAGTTTATAGTTTCTATGTGTTTGGTGTCATCCTTGTGGGTAGATACATTGATCCTTAGTCAAGGAAAAAAGGTCATCTGACTGCTTCCTTTTGTTTATATTAACAGGCAAAATTTTTTTTAAAAAATGGAAATTCTAGATGAAGATCCTGTTTGCAATTATATAGTAAGAGATAATTACTTATTAGCTTAAGAGTGCCTTTATCCCTTGATCATAACTATCATTTTATGAATAAATTGAAGGCAGTATTGACATATTCTCAGCTCTGGAAACAAGTTGAAATTGATAATAAAAGAACCAGGAAGCTTAGTTCAAGCAAGCAAATTAAGCAAATAATTTCATTTGCAAAGGAAAAGTCCGAAGGAGTGGGAGTATGAAAACCAAATCCTTGACTCTAACGCACTTTTCTGTGGGCTTCAGTTTCCTCATATAAAAGATGAGGAAATTAGAAAATTCATAATAATTTATCCCATTCTAACATCCCATGAGCCCATGGCAAATTTGGGAACTGTGTAAAGACAATTCCATTTAAAATTAATCATGCTGTGGTTCTTGATAAAGACTTAATTTGCCTTAATGTCATAATCTTCAGTCATGAAGGGCATGTGGATATTTAATCGGGTTTCTCCCTTTCATTAGGGCATGAGATCTTTGAGCAAATAAAGTGTTTCATTTGTTATTCCCTACTCCTCCAAACCACTCAGAAAGAAAATTCAATCAGGTTGTTACTAAAAAAAAAAAAAAAATGTTAGGGGTATTTGTATACATCTCATATAGAGTCTATATAGAGTCTACCTGAGCTTAACCAATGGCCTTCTTCTACTTCTTGCTCAGAATGAAGAAGCACATGTAACCTGATGAAGTAGTGGATTGTGGTTTCTATTGTTGCTCACATTCTTGCTCCCCCTCTGTATCCATTTTCTCTCCACCCTTTGCCTTGATGGACCTAAGCCAGTCTCCAAGGCTAAGGAAACACTGGGGGGCTCCTTGGAGAGCAGAAGCATGCAGGAAGATGGTGGAAAACAAGACTGCAAAGTTCATGTAGTACTTCCATTTAACATGTCCTTAGGTACCAAAGAGTATCCAAAGGCATCATAATAAAAATGATTTATTTTCACTAAATGATACATCTCTCTCTTCAAACCAGTGAACAATATTATGTGTTACAAAACTTGAAACAATACTCTGTGATTAAGAATGAGCTTTAGGGACTCAGGAAAATGCCATATGCCATTATACACCTTTGACACTCACTCAGAGGCCACAAAAGATTGGAGGTAAAAAACTCTACACCTCTAGGTGCCAGAGCAGCCCAAGGAATAACTTACAGGACCAGGCTTGCCCTGGCTAAGCCGATCTGTTCTCTTATGTTCTGTAGACTAGTCAGAATCTTCTCCAGATGCTATAATCTGGGGTTTTGAGCACCAAGAGCAGCAGGCTAACTTCTCTTTCTGGCTGCTCTAATTATTAGTTGAGCGACTGTGGGCAACTTAACTACCCTGCACCTCAGTTTCATCATCTTGAAAATTAGGAGTGGTATCTAAAGAATGGTTTGAGTATTCAGTGAGGTAATAACATAAAAAATATTGAGAAAAGTGCCTGGCATGTAGTAAGCACTAAATAAATGTTAACCACTGGTGGTTGTAGTGAGATGGTGGTGGAGGTATTAGTGGTTGGAGAAGAGTCAACAGATGTTGGGGAAAAGGGAGAGGAAGCACCCTGGTGCATTCTGGAACAATTCAATCATATTCAGGTCCCCTTCCCACTCCCACCAAAAGCTTAGAATAGAACCAATCCAGACATTTCTTTCAGTGAGATCTTGTTTGCTGCAAATCCAATTGGCTAAAGGAGTAATACATTCAGAGAGTATTATCTGGCTCCAGTTCTGCCTGTGTTTAAAACCATCAGAGACATTTGTTCCATGCTTATGGAACATTATGGAAGAAGACCAAATGGTCTCTGGAGTTAGCCAGCATGTCTTGTACTGACAGGAGAGTGTCATAGCATCTGCCCCCATCCTTTGCTTCCTGGAATCCTTCCAGTTAGATATGCTATAAAGATCAGGAAAATGCAGGAGCCAGAGGGCATCAGTGATCCTGATTTGCCCATTAGATGTGAGAACATAGCTGGCCTGCAGACAATTTGTGATTCATTGTCATTTGCCAAAGTTAATTTCAGCAATTGGATTTCTTAGTCCCGGAAAGGTCATCTCCGTTCTTTTTTGGGTTTTGTTTTGTTTTGTTTTGTTTCAGCTTTACTAAGGTATTATTGACAAATAAAAGGTCATTCCCGTTCTTAACTGCACAAGTTTCACTAAAGCTCTGTTTGAAGAGTTTTGCTTCAGTGCTTAAAGATTTGCAGGAGAAAATCACCAAAAACTTACTGAGTAAATAACTCATTTACACATGAGATTCTTTAATAATAACCACTCTGGAAATCTGTCTTGATTTGTGGGCACTTGAAAAAACACAGTCTCTTATGCTTTTAATTTTGCCTTTGTAATGAAATGATGAAGAGATTTAGCCATATCAACCAACCAGTCATGTATTAGTGGAACATCTGTATACCTAATTCTGTCCTTACCGGGGACTTTAGCTTTGTGCTGCCCAATAGAAATACAATGCAAGACTCATATATAATACAGTTTTTTAGTACCAACATTTTAAAAAGTAAAAACAGTTTTTACTTTTGAGAGGTGAAAATTAATTTGGCGATACATTTTATTTAACCCAATTTATCTAAAATATCAGTTCAATGTGTAATTGATATAAAAGAAGTATTTATGTGATATTTTACTTTTTTTATACTGAGTCTTTAAAAATCCAGTGTGGGGGTGCCTGGGTGGCTCAGTTGGTTAAGCGACTGCCTTCGGCTCAGGTCATGATCCTGGAGTCCCGGGATCGAGTCCTGCATCGGGCTCCCCACTCAGCGGGGAGTCTGCTTCTCCCTCTGAACCTCCCCCCTCTCATGCTCTCTCTGTCTCATTCTCTCTCTCAAAGAAATAAATGAAATCTTTAAAAAAAATAAAAAATAAAAAATAAAATAAAAATCCAGTGTGATTTTTATACACCCACATCCCAATTCAGACTAGCCACATTTCAATTGCTCAATTACCACATATGCGTAGTGTCTACCATTAGACAGCACAACTTTTGAATACAAAAATCTGTCTCTTGAAATAGGTTATGATTTAACTTGAAAAAATAGCAACCATTTATTGAACGTGTACTATATGCCAGACACTGTGCTAAGCACTTTACCATATAATCTCATTTAATCTTTAAAATACTTTGTGATGTGGTATTTTTGATCCTTATTTTACAGATGAGAAGACTACAGCTTTAAAGATCCCAAAATCCCATACCAATAAGGGACAGAGGCAGGATATGAACCCAGGTCTGTATGGCTATATATTATACACTCATTTAAGAACAGCTGAGTATGTTAAGATCCAAATGCAGAATCTGACCCAACAGATTCAGTAGAATTTACTTAAATATTAAGCAAACAGATATTTTATATTTTAAAATACTCTACTTGAGGGATGCCTGGGTGGCTTAGTCAGTTAAGCATCTGCCTTTGGCTCAGGTCATGATCCTAGGGTCCTGGGATCGAGTCCCACATTGGACTCTCTGCTCAGCGGGGAGCCTGCTTCTCCCTCTGCCTACCGCTCCCCCTGCTTGTG